AGCCAGACCTGAGCGTGCTTTAAACTATACTGATAGCTGTATAACCGCACTATACGCTTGCAGTTCCAAAAAGATAACGGACCACTGCTTACGAGCCGCTTCTTTCAGACTCCATATGTCCGTGCTGGAGCTTTGGCACTAGAAGCACATTCATGACACATTTCCAAGAAATTGTCAGGAGTGTTAACAGCAGCATTGATGCGTTTCATCCTAGTACAGTCCTAGAATTCATATAGTCATGTAGCTTAAAGCTTCAAAAACACTTTTTAAGTGTACAGTACCTCTTGAACCACCTACACTGTCTTTGGCAGAGTACACAAACACACAACAGCCAAGTCAAATTTGGGTGTGCCATCCAGTTACTCACACAATTATCATTCATTAGTGGCAGCTGATGTGTCCTGCTGCCAGCGATTCTTTTTGTCATTTTAACCGGTGAAAGTGACGGTCTGTGCCAGCTAAAAATGAGAGGCTGCTAGCTGAATGTTTTTGTATACTGCTCTTTGCTTTTAAGAGCGAAGAGATAACAAATCTGTTTCCATCGGAGGCCTCATAATTGTTTTTATTATTCTAATCCCTTACTCGACTGACCAAACGCAGGATTCACTCTTTCAAGAAGAGCAGATTGCTTCTGACAAGGAAACTTAAGTTCAGAGATCACCTCCAAGTCGTGAGCCGGTTTCCACTTCTGGAGCTGCGTCAGTGACTAAGCACAAGAACACTCGTTAAATAGTGGCTTTAGTTTCGGCAGTGGCAGGAAATACGTTATACAGTTACGAGCCAGCTGTCTGCCGATACAGAATAAGACTTTCAACCAGTAAAACTTCTGCCTTTTGTGTTGGAAACTGTGCCGTTTCTTTTTTTTCAGCCTACTTTGACTACAAAGAAGACGGGGCTTTCCCCAAGCCTCCATCATACAACGTAGCGACCACGCTACCTTCCTATGATGAAGCAGAAAGAACCAAGGCCGAGACTACTGTTCCCCTGGTAACTGGAAGAGTGAGTGTCTCTTTTTTCTCCCTTTCTTGCCTGCGGTCACATTCAGTATATGCACGCACTGTAGCTTGTGCTCAAACACTTCCCGTGTTGTCTGCAAGGCAGGAAGTGTTTAGTGCACCATTACGGAAAGATTTTTTGTTTTGTTTTGTGTTCAGAATCACATATCTGACTGTGTGTCTTTCTGACATGAACAGCCTTTTGTTGTTGGTTTGAAAAATAGCAGATTCAAAAAGAAACACACACATATATATATGACTCATGAATAATGTGGCACATAATTAACAGTCTGTTTCACAAGAAGCCTCTTTCTGTTGTGAATGCTTTAATCTCCCAGGCCCACTGAACTACCCTCTGATTATGTTTTATGGCTGGTAGCTCAAACAGTCCCACCACCTCACGTCAGTAATTTGTCCTTGGTGATGGAGGTACGGACTGTCAGTGTAAATCTTTAGAAATCTTTGGTAGACACATTCAAAGTTTCCAGAGCTTTAATGGCGCGATTGCTTCGGAAAACATCTGTGCTCTTTACACAAAACATTTGGTTGTGGGAAGCCTTTCCTCTCCAGTTATTATGTAGCTGTCATTGTGTTTACAAAGGGCAAAACACACCTCATCTTATACAGCATGCCATTAACTTGTATTTAATGCCCGAGGGATTGTTTTAAAAAAGGGACACCAGCAATCTAACCTCTCGTGTGCAGGCCTGTCACGAGCAGCTCGTGTGAACGCCGTCTCTGAGTCTCTCTGTCAGCGGCAGAAATGAATCAGAAATTCATTCATACCTGACATATCTTGAAGAAAAAAACTGTTAAAATTTGAAAATAAAATAAAAATGACAGCCCCTCTCTGACCTCTAGTGGTCATTGTAATGCTTTACTGCATGTGGGGGCCGCCCTGTTTGATTGTTGGTGTTGTGTTTCCCTGCCACGCACTGCCTTGCGCTCAGCAGCAGCCGCAGCACAGGGAACGCCTGGAGACTTTTGACGATGTAATTCGCAGTTCACTGGAGGTAACTGGGAGGAGTGGGAGGAGAGTGTATGATGAGAGGAAGTGTATTTGGTCCTGGTTTGTCGTGTGAAAACACAGATGTACCTTCGCTGTATGTATTCAGTACCCCACCCTTCTTGTGTGTTTGTGTATTTAGAGTGCTAGCTAGTGCTTAGTTGATATTATACTAGATCTACTGGTTCTCCCGATATGCTACATTGACTCTGACTGGGTTTACTTTCGGTAAAGTGACAATAATAGTAGTTAAATGGGCTTGCTGTGTTGTGATGGTTCCATTGGTCCTTTGGTTGTTTGTGTTGTATTTACTCTCTGTTTGAGCTTAGTTTCCCTTTAGCAGCTGCTTGCCGGCGCTTTATGACAATTCGCTTTGATCTCAGTCACTACATTGTATATGTAGAATTTCGAACTGTGAAAATACTGCTAAAGTTAAACTTTATCAAATTGATTGAGCTATAGACTAGAAAAAAGTTTCATTAAAGTAAAGTAAAGCGCCGGGAAGCTCTGCTACTGCCTTGTTGTTGCTGTGGTTACATTTTTTTGAGTGCTTAAATAACTTACTTTGGTCTCTTTTTGTCACTTACTCTATGACAGGATGAAGACTTTGTGACCAGAGACGACTTCGAGGATGCTGATCAGCTGAGGATAGGAAATGACGGCATCTTTATGCTCACTTTTTTCAGTTAGTTGTCCAAACTACTCGTCTGTTTTTTTTATCTTCTTATCCTATCCATGTTGTTTCATCTTCAGCTCTTCTCTTCCTAGAGTTGTACAGAAATTACATCCTCTATTATGTAAGATACAAATGAGTCTTCTCCCTCCGTCCTCTGTCCAGTGGCATTCCTGTTCAACTGGATCGGTTTCTTCCTGTCCTTCTGTCTGACCACCTCAGCAGCCGGCCGCTATGGGGCAATCTCAGGTTTTGGCCTCTCCCTCATCAAATGGATCCTCATAGTCAGGGTACGATAAGCAGCCCACACACACAAACACAGACATTACAGAGTACACATGAAAAACACATAAAATGTGGTTTTATGTACGCACAAACATCTCAAAAGCCCCAAACACCACCCTGGTATTTTAATGTTGTTTCTGTAGTGGTTGTCTTGTTGGCGCTGTGCTATTTCCTCAAAGATCTCTTTAAAACTGCCCTGCTTTTCTGCATTCACGTTGAAAACGCAGGGCTCATTTGAGTGAAACCAGTACAGGCCATATTTATTCTAACCAGTCATTTCTGTCGTTCTGTTGGGTTTCTAGTTCTCCACATACTTCCCTGGTTACTTTGATGGACAGTACTGGCTGTGGTGGGTGTTCCTGGTGCTGGGTAAGTAGCCAACCTCTGAATTTAAATCAATCAAATAGGGAATCAAATGGTTTTGCCTGGCTTGTGACACATTTCTGCTCTCTGGAGCTCATTGCAACAGCGTTTAGGTGTCATATGTTGTAAATATACAAAATAGTTAAAACCTTAATTATCCTGTCAAAGGATGATAAGGTTTTTGTTTGAATTCATTATTTCAATGAAATGAAGATCCTGCTTCTCCGACCACTGACTGCAGCACATAGAGGTGCAAAGTCGGAAGAATACAAGTTTTCCATACAGTAAATTCCCATTTTTATAGTGTTATGAATTAAAGTGGAAGCATCTGCATAAGCTCCTTTTCAGCAAAAACACCAGACGTCTTCTTGTATCTTTTTAAAACATGTTTACTAGTTATTACTTTCTCCCTTGGCATCGTCATTCCCATATTGCCAAATGAGTTTAAGTAAGTTGACATATCATTTCATACCAAACGGATGCAACTATAAAGATTGTGTTAGTTAGGTCGTTAATTGTTTGCTACCTTGCCTTGTAAGCACTGTTTTGGTTTATGTTGGTTAACCTAAAGTAAACCTACGTTATCATCCTGGTTGTGGTGATTGGCCACACCTGCCACCATAGAGCACACCAGCTGTTGATGTGCATGTGTATAAATATCCATCTAGGATCAAAATGTTGTCATTAATAAAAGATTTTGAGTGTGCAGGCTTTACTGTTTTTAATGATGACCTAAAGACCCATTCAGAGCACCTAGATACATTAAGCTGCCAAGTCTTAACATGGAGTTATAAGGTTGTTCCCTAGTCTTCTAGTTGTCTCACAGTCCCGTTTTTCTTTTTTTTTGCTCTTCAGGATTCTTGCTCTTCCTTCGAGGATTCATCAACTATGCCAGAATCCGCAAGATGGCCGACACCTTGTCCACCCTGCCCCGCACCCGGGTCCTCTTCATCTATTAAGCTCAAAATCCATCAGTTACCATCATCACTTTTTCCTCCTTTTTAATGAGATATGCAGTCTGGCTTCATCCAATCAAAAAGGGAGGAAGAAACTTTTTTTTTTTCCTCTGCTCCACATGATTTGGACAATATGATAATTGTCCCCTCTTGGTCTAAACTAGTGAATGCTGAAAATCTGTAAAACCCTTCAGTTGTTAGTGGTGAACTGTCATATGCTATTTGCAATTATGAAGTGTGTGATGTATAAATTAATGCCTTATTTACTGTTTTACTATCTGTTGGTAGCAGCAGCAGCAGCAGCAGCAGCATACACTGTTCCCCTGTGTAGACACCAGGGGGCAGTCTTGTTTGTGTTATTCCTTTCACCAGTCTTCGATCTGATGAAGTCATTTGTATAGAGGTGCTTCTCAGCCCAGGGGTCAGTGGGTAATTTTGGGATTGTGGGTTGATTTATGCAGTGTGAAATAATATATTTCAAGTACCAATTTAATGTGTTTTTAACCCTTCTGACCAAGCATTATGTCCCTTGTGAAAACGTATAGAAATCATGTAATACAAGACTGAAAAGGGAAAATTACTAGCTTTTTTTTTGGGTTTGAGTTTCTGAGAAGGTTGAGGACCATATGAATAGAAGATCAGGGGCCTGGTTTCCCCTAAAGCATTTCCCCCCCCCACATGCATTCATGAATTGTCTATGCTTACACACACTGTAATCAGTAATACCTTTACTAATATATATGATACATGTATGTCAGTAGAGAGCTATAGCTGCAATGTGATTTCCAGGGCAGGCCAGAGCAGAGCTTCTTGGGCAGGTTGGGAATCACTGCTTTGCTCAAGAGCACAATGACAGATGGAATAAGCTGAAAGTCTCTCACTGGATTCAGATGTGCAATTGGACGGTTGTGGTTAAATTAATGACTCTGATGCCCTATCTCAGTCATTGGCATCCCATTGGTTTCCAAAGAGGAAGAAATTGTATTGTCAGATGTGATTTGGAAACCCTGCCCTGTAAAGAATTAATGAAGTAATATATTAATACAAAGCAGACCCCCCCCCCCCCCCCCCCCCCTTTTTTTTTACGTTACAATGAAATATTAAAAGTGTCATTCTTTTTATGTTTAACCTCATTCTAGTGGAAGTGGAATGATTGTTTTAAGTATCTGGCTTGGAAACTGTTTGGAATTAAAGTGGAAAAAGTACATTTTGGTGTTGAGCTATGTATCAAATAGCGGTAAGCCTTCCAGTCAAAATATCACATGACGTAAATGCCATTTTAGTCTTGCTAGTTATTCCGGTTGCAGGATACCACTTGCTCTCCGCTGGCGCACCACAACAACTCGAAAATTAAAGCGCTCTATCATATCGAATGTCATCACTGCTGGTCATTGGGACTTGGAGACTAGGATGTGTTTTTTTTTTTTCTCCAAAATGCCTAAATTGGAGAGATGTATCAACAAATTTAAGAAATTATAGTCCGTCAGTTAATTATGAACTTTGAACTCGACCTCATCTTCATGACCTTACTGATACTAAATAAAATCTACCATGTTTAGTATTTTAGAGTGTGGCTTCGGAAAGGTGGAGATCCAGCAGCCTTCAGCCACAGCGAAGAGGAAACCTAGCTGACCATGATGTTCAGTTACTGACATGAGACATGCTCTTAGCCATACTAAATTTAACACACATGAGACACGTGTGCGTGTGAGAATTGAGTTGATTTACTCGTGGTGGCTAATTATACATGTCAGCGGTGTTTTTCCTTGCCGTTGGAAAAGGAAGTGAAGGTCACTCCACCTGGAAGACATGTCACACCTACTGAAACGGTCTTTGGTTTCACTGGAAACTTTTACTGTCACATCACTATGGCTGGATATTGGCCTCTAGTGGTCCTCTGTTGATATGGCATTTACTCCATTTAGGTCAACCTTCATAGGGCACTGGGGGAAATGTCACTCTCAATCCACTAAAATTATTATTTTTTCAGCATTAAACAACTCCCAGGAGGAGAACATAGAAGTCGAGCAAAGCAGATTTTCATGCTTGCATAAATCCAGTCTATGGTGTGCTGTATGCAAGGAATATGCATTGTAGACTCACGCGACGTGGTTCAAACTTTTTAGGGCAGTTAAAGAGTTGTGAGATTTGAAACTGAATTTGACACAAGCTTACTGAAAAGTATACATATATATATTTTTAACAAATGTTTCTCTTCGTTATGAACTGTAGATTTTCTCTTTGCTTACCTCTAAGTTTTTGCACCACTGATACTTTTAAAAAGTCAGATTTCTTTTGCGTTGTGCACTTTGGAAAAACAGAAACAGCTGTGGTTCAGAAATAACAGATGCCAAGTATCTCTGGGTTAAACATTTTAACTTTAAACTTTCTCAGTGTGAGAAAATTCATTACTCTAGTATTTTAAGAAATGTTTTCCAACATTATGTCTTAGATTTTACGCAGCACAAATAGCCTCTAATGGTGGAAGAATGGAAAAAGACAAATAGGGCAAAGGTCATATGCCAGACCATCAACACCGGTCCACTGAACCACCACGTCACGGATAAACAATCTTCATTTTGCCAGGTGCAGACGGGTTTAACTGCTGACAGTGTTTCAGCTGTAAATTCTGGCAAAGCACACAAACAACAAAATTCCTTATCATCCACATCTTACACAAATTCAGCCTCAGTCCTGAATCCCTCTCTAACGTCATTCCCGCTCTGCTCCAGCAGGGTCACCCAGTGCAGGTGTTTTTGTTATCCAGATGTCATTCATAAAATAACTCCATTGTGCCAAGAGCTGTCTGTGTCTCGTCAGCTGCCCTCGATTTACAGAGACGGAAGTATTTCTTGGAGTAATTGATGGGAATTATGTGTGCTAGCCAAGTGCCTGCACTGCTTGCATGTTTTAGCTATCAAAAGATAAGAGGAGGCTTTTTGATTTACGGAGAGGTTGGGAGTGAGCCATCTTTCCAAAAAAGATGTGCTTTACTTTTCTGGCTCCTGTTGGACATACTTTTTTTGCAAAGACGGATGTGAATTTACAGTAGTTTATAAAAGAATATAATATGTTTAGTACAAAAAGCCTGTTGTCCTTGCAGCAGGAAATGAAGATGCAGTTTTTCATGTCTGATAGTTTTGTTATGTCTGATTTACCTGACTTGACTGCAGATTTTAATAAGCACAGTGTTGGTTTGTTACTGCTGGACAAAGCTAGTTGTTTCCTGTCTTTATGCTAAGCTAAAGCTAATCATCTGCTGGCTTCAGCTACATATCTTACCACGCACACTTGAGAGTAGTATCGAGGGGAGTATCGGCAAGTCAACGAACAAGCATATTTTCCAGAATGTCAAACTATTCCTGTAATAAGAGTGGTGGTGAACAGCAGCCGAGATTTACGTTGTTTTCAGTAAATCTGCGTCTAAAGTGAGTCAGTGCAGAACTGTGCTCAATGGCACAATATTGGCCATTTTGAGCAGCTGCCAGATGGGAAACTTCTACTATATGAAGGTAAAAAAGCACATGTGACATGTGACTCATGGGACACATGGGACACCAATTTGCATTTCAAAATCAATAAATAACACAAACAATTGTGTAACTGTCATAAGCATGGCAGATTGGCAGCTTATGTGACCCTGCATCAGATGTGTGCACCTGCTGGGATTGCGTTACCACACAGATCAGTCAGATTGACTGATTGATTTTATTATCACAAAAGGGAAATTGATTTACAGCGTGGGCACAAAAACAGCACATACGAAGTAAAAAAACAAAGACATAGCCCCCATTAGCAAAAGTGCAGAAGAAACAACAGAGCAATAAACAGCAGTAAACAATACTATACAGCACCAGTGTGTAGTACTAATAAGAGTTCCAGAAGGCACTGGTCAGTACAAATGGAGCTAAAGCTTTCAGAGTTTTCTCAGAAAGGCAGATTGGTGGAACGACTGAGAGGCCGGTGGAAAAATCACTTGTAATATGTTTATCCTCCTCGGTAAGACAAAGATAGATATAACCTTTGGCTTTAAAAAGATCCATTCTGCTCACAGGAAGGGGTTTTCTGGGAAATGTGGTCTTAAGTCTGAGATACACTAAAAAATAAATAAATAAAACACAACTCGTGTGATTTAGAGGCTGATGACAGCAATCAAAATTGATTTGAACCTAAATACATTGATATTAACAGATGAGTACCTATGAGACTAGAAACCTTGAGGCCTGTGCAGACATACCACTGCCTGCTTCTTACTTTTTGACTTTATCGTTATTTATTTAAAGTTAGAACATCCTGCCAGAGAATTCCCATCACCTTAAACAAACTGCAGTCAGACGGAGCCTCCTGCTGTCAGTATGAATTTCAGATGGGAGGTTCCCCAGGATGTGGGGAGGATGTGGGTTGCATCCAAATGATATGTACTTCTTCTCTCAGTGTGTGTGTGTGTGTGTGTGTATGCACGCATGTGTGCGTGTGAGTGATTGGGGCAGGGGGAAGGGTGTTATCATTGATGTGTGAGTCATCCTGACCGTCCCCTCCTCTCCCAGCACTTCATGTGGCGTGTGTGTGTGCGTATAATTGCGTGTGCATCTGTGTGCACGGAATGTGCGGAAGTCTACATGCTTCTAATGTCACAAAACAGGCTGTGCGTGCATCGTATGATGTGTTTTTACATGTATGTGTGCCACGGTGCGTGACGTGAGCATCCCTGTGTATAGTATGTGCGTGTGTGTGTGTGTTTGAGGTTGGTAAAACAGTGGTGAGTCATCCACAGGCCAGCATTGCCTGTTACCATGGGTCACACACAGCAGGTACCCCACCTCCCTATGTGAGCATTTTTTTTAACCCACTTCTCTTACTTATCCTCTTCTTCCTCCTCCTCCATCTCCTCTTCTTCTTTTTCCTCTCTGACTCACAGATGACTCCCCCACCACCACCAATGACATCACCATCCCCTCCCTAACACTTTGTTGTGGTGAATCATACTGTACGTTGAGATTTTCTCTGCTCTTGTCTTCAGCCAACCAGCAGGGCAAACCTGAATGTCACCCATTCATTCATAAAATCAGACTCAAGTCGCTGAAGCATTTGTCTCTGACAACTGTGACCGGTAGGTAGGTAGGCTTTGTCAGTGATGTCATCAGTTATAACATGTATACAGTGATGTAATCAAAGGAATTAGGAAACACTCAGACATGTATTCTGGTTATGTTCAGAGAAAGATACTATATGGAAACACAGTATTTCTCACAATTGAAATTCCACTGTTCTTATTTAGACAGCCTTTTTCCCACATATTCCCATTGGGGGATCCATTGGTTAGCAGGACTGTTCAGTTTCAGAGGAATCTTGCATTTTCATACTCACTCATGGTCACACTCACACTTTGTATAAAATATGTATTAAAAGTACCCAGCTCCCCCTGTGCATGTGTCAAAGTGTCCTTTAGCAAGACACTGAACCCCAAGTCACTCCCGAGGCACCCACGGCTGCTGGGAGGTTCCCCAGGATGTGGGGAGGATGTGGGTTGCACATAGAGTTACGGGTCTACAGAAGCAGAATATAAGGTGGGAGCTGCAGAAAGGTTAGACAGCTCCAAAGATGGAGGGCGGTTTAAAGGTACCTGGTGTAGTTTTTGACCACTAGTAATGCTATTGAGCGATACAAATGTTACACCAGCATAGCAATGCACCAAGAAAGGAGAAAGAAAGAGGAACTGAGCTAGCCAGCATTTGACATGTTTGTTAGACCTACAGATACTTCTTGCATTTTACATCATTACTAAGGCACCAATTTCAACTGAGCCAATGAGATCTTTGTGTGTTGGATTTATACGTGTGAGAAAGAAGTGTAAGAATGGGAATGTCATCTTCCTGTGCTAGAGCAAGACAAAACTGGCCACAAAAAATGTTTGTATGGATGAGATCGATGCAGCTATAATGGTTGTTGTGGGCAGAAATACAAATTCTGAAATCTGTATATTTCTTCGATTTAATCAGAATCAGAATCAGAAATACTTTAATAATCCCAGGGGGAAATTACTTTAATTACTTGTAAATGTTGCACAAAGGGAGATAATTGACTCTTGGTTAGTGGGACAAATAGTAAAATCAGTATCTATCCTGGATAACCCACTTGCACTCAATGCACAGTAGTCTGCGTGAGAATAAAATGTACAGTATATCAAAGACCAATACAATAGAATGT